CTTAGGAGTGACAAGGTTGGATAAGATTAGGAATGAGATCGTCACAGGTACAGCCCAGGTTGAACAACTGGGAGATAAAGTTAGGGAGGCCAGACTGTGATGGTTAGGACACGTCAAGAGGAGGGACCGTGGGTGTATTGGTAAAGGATGTTAGAAATGCAGCTGCCAGAAAAAAGACAAAGAGGAAGGCCAAAGATGAGATATATGGATGCAGTTAGAGAGGACATGAAGGTAGATGGAGTGAGGAAAGAGGATACAGAGGACAGAGTGAGGTGGAGGAGGAAGACTCGCTGTGGCGACCCCTGAAGAGGGAAAAGCCGAAAGAAGAAGAAGAAGAACCAGAGAAGTGCACCATGGACCTTAGTGGTCAAATACGGTATTATATCAAGTTATCACAGAATGAGACTCACACCGCACAGTGAACAATGAAAGTTATATAAGATGACGAACTGTCAATCCACTTTTAAGTTTAAAAAGAAGATTAAACTAAGGATTAAAGTACAGGCAAACCTATTTAATAATGCAATTATGAGATTTTTTTGGGGGGGGGGGGTCATTAAAAAAAACACTAAAAAAACCTTTCTGATGGTGATTATTTTTCTTTTTTGGCATTATTCTCCTGCTAGGGAAAAAATATTAATGACAACAATTTAAGGCAACAGCACAGGTTGTTTACATAAAAACATTGTTTTATGCAAGATGAATTTTGGCACGTTTAAGAAGTCTATTTTATTTTATGTTTTTCTTTTAAGAATCCTGTATTTTCCTTTCTTATCATGCATTATTAAACAGTCAAGATTGTTGTATTTTTATTTTTCAGTACTGTACTCAGGTTGCCAGAAGGGAGAGATGAGGACCAGGTTGTATTTTAAATTTTATTTTTTCTGGGGTTTTGAGAGTTACAGACAATGCTGAAAACCTTCATCCCTCATTGAAGCATTTATGAGCCACACACAGATGCCAGGTTTTGTGTGAATGTCTGAGGTTTGGATGCTTTGCAGAAATTTTTTTAAAATATATTTTGGCACTCTATGACACTACAGGTCCTTCTCAAAAAATTAGCATATTGCGATAAAGGTCATTATTTTCCATAATGTAATGATAAAAATGAAACTTTCATATATTTCAGATTCATTGCACACCAACTGAAATATTTCAGGTCTTTAATTGTTTTAATACTGATGATTATGGTATACAGCTCATGAAAACCCAAAATGCCTGTCCCAAAAAATTAGCATATTTCATCCCACCAATGAAAGACAAGTGTTTTTAATACAAAAAACGCCAACCTTCAAATAATCATGTTCAGTTATGCACTCAATACTTGGTCGGGAATCCTTTTGCATGAATGACTGCTTCAATGCGGCGTGGCATGGA